TCACAAAAAGGTTGCCCACCCCTGCCCTAGATAGACCAATCCTTTCAGTAGTTTACTTTCATGTGAAGCTGGGCCTTTATGAATGAAGAGTCTGCCCTCAGTCCTTAGGTTACTTCAACTTCAATCCACTCCTCACTAAGCCTCCACCTGCATCCTCCCTCCCCCCATATCCTTTACACATTGACACTCCATGCAGAGCCAAACTACATCCTGCTGAAGGAAAAATCAGTAGTACTAATGCTGTCTGTTTTAAATGTTGATATTTGGTTCATTATGGATTTTTTGCATGAATGTCAATTTTTTTTCAAAACGTTGCATTAGAATACTATATCTTGATTACTGCGTTTTTAAGCACTCCCTTAAATGTTGTGTCTGAGGTGGTGCCTCCCTTTGCTCACCCTGCTGTCCCATTCCTGCTGACAGTGCTCTTGTAGAGGCCTTGGGGACCTCCTAGTGGCCACATCCGGGGTCTGCTGATTAACCCCGCCTTGAAAGCCCCTCCCTTGGCTGACCTCACACCTCTGCATTCTATGCAGTCCCTTGCTAACCTCTGACTCTCCACACCCTCCTTCTGCACCTGCTCCTTAAATGAGGGTGTGCCCTCCCATCCATCTCTCTCCCAGACTGTTCCCCTGACCTTTCTATTCCCCTGACCTTTCTGCTCCCCCTGCCTATGGCGTCACCCTCTCCAGACTGAACTCCTATCAGAATGAACTTTCTGAAGTTCATGGTTGAACCAAGTCACTTTCCTAATTCAAACCTTCTAAGGGTTCCTCCTCTCCCAAGGCAGGTTCCAATTTTCTTTGCATTCAAGGCCTCTTGTGGTCTAGCTCCTGCCCTCACCTCTCATTAACACCCACCTTGCACATTCGGCTTCAACCAAACAAGGAGTTCCTTCTTTCCTATGCATACTGTGAGCCTTTGCCCAGATTACCGCTTCCATTTACCTGCCTAGCAAAACCCTTCTCCGCTTGTAGGGCCCGCTGAATCACCTGCTACCATGCATCTCCTAGGAAGAGCCCACACAGACTTGGTCAGTAACACCTTCTACCGTGTTACATAACTCCCTGGCATCCAGCATTAGCTCTAATAGGTGACCAATTTTCCTCACAGAATGTCTACTTTGCCTCCAAACCATCTGATATCCAAAGCACATAACATTCTCGGTAATCAGTAGCACGGCAGCCAGCACGACTGGTTCCCGTCCTACTTTAACCTATCCAAGGACATACTTCAGATTCCATTCTTTACACTGCTTCGCTCCCTGGAGCAAGGTCACGGCCTAGCATGAAAGCAAGGTCATGTCCACCGAGCTGCAGTAGAGAAGTAAACAGTTCCCCAGCAACACCACGAACAGGTGCTAATGCAGAGAAGCCCGCCCGCCCTGCCAGCTGCAGAAAGCTGCATGCAAACTTGCCGCTTTCAGGTAGCTGTCTGGGAATCCCCACTGAGATGAGAAGGCCCCGGACGCAGTCACACAGAAGTTTCTGGAAGGATAAAGAAGGGGTTACTTGACCCCCAAGGCAACATAAAATGAGGCCATCTCACAGGAGCTCTGTGCATTCACTCTGAACATAACAGAACCCACTTTCCTTCTCCATTCATGCACAGACTCTGTGGATGTGGGCTGTGTGGGTAACAATTCAAACTGCTAATACAATAAACCCCTCTTTCCTCCTGCAACTATAAAATGCCATTTTGTGTCCCACCCCCACCATATTTAAAATGAGATGTGGCCCAGCCGGTGTGGCTCAGTTGGTTGAGTGTTGTCCCATGCACAGAAAGGCCACCTGTTCCATTCCTGGTCAGGGCATATGCCTGAGTTTCAGGCTCCATCCCCAGTAGGGGGCATACAGGAGGCAGAGATTGATGTTTCTATCTCTCCCTCTCCTTTCCTCTCTCTCTAAAAATCAACAAAAATAATTTTAAAAAGTAAATAAAATAAAATGAGATGTATTAACTCATCACATGGTTTCTGGAATTTTTGAAGTGCCAAGGATACATACCAAACATAGTCTAAAAGACCACGTACTTAGGCTGAAGCATAAACACACTCCAATTTGGTGTGTTACTATTATTCTGCATCAGTGGCTAAAAACACACATTAAAAATTATGTGGCTTCACAAGCAGTGCATTTCAATTATTGCAAATTGCCCACAAACAATAGATGATCTCACTTATAAAATAACATAAAATTAAAAGGTATATTTTATAAACTTATTTGGTGAGGCTCAGCCCCATGACTCCCAGGGAAGCTCCCACAAATTCCAGCATATCCTTACTTCCAATAACTTCCTTGGTTCATAACAGTAGCATCATCCAGACTAGATAAACAAAGGAATGAAAGAACCACAGAATGAGAAAGGATCTAGATCAAAAAGAAATCATGGCCCTAACTGGTTTGGTTCAGTGGACAGAGCGTCGGCCTGCGAACTCAAGGGTCCCAGGTTCAATTCCGGTCAAGGGCATGTACCTTGGTTGTGGGCACATCCCCAGTAGGAGGTGTGCAGGAGGCAGCTGATCGATGTTTCTCTCTCATCGATGTTTCTAACTCTCTATCCCTCTCCCTTCCTCTCTGTAAAAATCAATAAAATATTTTTTTTAAATCATGAATTATTTAACTAAATACAGCAACATAAGCAGAATCACTAGGGACAATAAAGCTAAATCTGCTTAATATAGTGGACCCCTCCTTCTTTACCAAAGTTAAGCCTTTGCTAGGGCAAACTTCTCATACAGAGCCCAAACACCTAACAGCATCTCCCACCTCTGTCCCACCCATCATCTAAATCAAGACATATAAAAATCTCAATATTGGGGGGGGGGGAGACAAATGTACTACTCATTGTAATATTTTAAGCAATAATAAATAAATAAATAAATAAAAATAGAGATATACAGAAAAAAAAAATCTCAATATTCCCTGGACAGTGTTCTCCTGTCCCAACAACTTTGCTCAAGTATTTGCTTCCAGTCGAAAATTCCTTTTTTTCAGTCCCTGCCTATTGAAATTCTCTCCCATCTTCCCAGGTATCTCTCCCATAAGCTTGTCTTGACCCCCAAATCAGGTCACCTCCTCTTGCTTCACAGCATCCTTTTTACTCTTGTCTGGCATTTGTCTTATTCTAGTTTGGGCACCTGTCACCTGTGGTAAGATCCTTGAGGACAGATTAATTTCTTATTCATCTTCATTAGGCTGTGGTGGACCTTGACAGGCCTGCCAAGCTCATTCTCCTCAGCCTTGACCTGACTGATCATCATTACATAACTCCATTAGTAAGGCCATGTGTAATGCCTTACTCATCCTAAATAATAAAAGCCTACTATGCAAATTGACCGGTCGCTATGACACACACTGACCACAAGGGGGCAGATGCTCAATGCAGGAGCTGCCCACAGCCCACAGGCCCCAGTTCACTGCCGAAGACATAAACCATCATGAATATGCAGGTAAATGTGGTATCAAATTGGAGGAGCTTAGTTCTTTCCTAAGTAGGGAAATACTAAAAATGACAGCCCAATATCTAGAATAAGAGGAAAACAATGAAGAAGCTTTTTGTCTGTTCTGCGCAAAAAATTAAATGGTTGAAAAGACAAAGTGGCTAAAAGTGGAGACCACACCAGAGAAACATAAATACAAAACAAGGTACGAAATGGGGGTGAGGAAAGGAAGCAGTTTTATCTGGAAAGAAAAGATTCAAGAATATACCTATTACATATATGAATACATATGTCCATTCATTTGTATGTACAAGAGGTCAAAGAAGAAATTATTCCTCTAAACCCATAGTTGAGGAGGGGAAAAAAAAACATTCCGGCTTCTGAACAAGCAGATTAATGAAATGTTAATTGTGGATACACACCTTCTCAAAAACAAGAAAAAGGGTCATTAGAAACCCTGATTCCAGAGGGGAGTTAAACTACATATTAATTGCAAGAAGAAAAAAAAAAAACACCAGCAGTTCTGAAATACAGTTGGAGAAACGGCATCATACAAAATAAGAGAATAGGAGCTCCAGTGGCGCAATCGGTTAGCGCGCGGTACTTATAAGACAAAATAAGAGAATACATATACATATTTTAAAACACTGAAAAGGTTGTAGTACAAAATAAGGAAATACATATACATATTTTAAAACACTGAAAAGGTTGTATTTGAGTGCATAGCTGTCTAAACAACAACAACACTAAACTGTAAGCTGTGGTTATCTTAGGCAACGGACTCCGGAGACTTTCTCTGTTTATTCTGCATGTATTTTTAACGCAGATAATTCTAATATAACTTGACTGGAAAGTTTTTTTAAAAGGAAATATGACAATACAGTGCAATCCTGTGTAAAGTGCAAGAATAGTCCCTGGCGTTATGCAAGTTCAGGAGCCCCCCAGGAGGGCTGTGAAGTCTTCCTAGAGGAGTGACAGGAGCTGAATATAAGGCAGAAACAGGGCATTTCAGTAGTAACAGTATTCTTCCCTCTCTGAGTATAGTCAGGAAAGCAAGGACCCATGGGAGTCCCCGTGTGACAGCTCTGTAACCGTCTGGCTTGCTCCTTTGTATTCCAGGCTGTCGGTGCCCTGGCCTAGCTGCTGGACATCAAGTTCGCTGTGGAGGTAACTTTGCTGGGTCTCCTCCCACCACGCTGGGGGCTGCTTGGGGAAGGAACCAAGTTCGAATCCATCTCGGCGTCCCCAGCACCCAGAGCTCTGCCTGGCCCAGAGAAGCTCCATAAATACTGGCAGGAGGATAGCGAGTTCCAAGGAGAGGAGGCATGTCAGGACTGAGACACAAGTGTCATCAGCCTCTGGGGCCCTATAAGGAAGAAAGAACCGAAGGAGGGAGACCAGGCGTGCTGCAGGAGTCTCCGGGAGGCTCAGAGGGGGCGCCGGGCTGAGAGCGAGACTCAGCCCTCTACTGCCCGGATCGGGGACAGTGCCCGACAGCCCCCGCGTCCAGGGCGACAGCACAGGGTGTAGGTGGGGGAGAGGGGCGGGCAGGATCCTCGGTTTACTCACGCCGGGAGGCTGCCGGCTGCTCAGCTGGACCTCCGACCTCCGCTGGGACGCGCCACCCCTAGCAGCACCCAGCACCCGCAGACCAGCTCCGGGAAACCGCAGTTGGTCTTTGTCCCGAGAG